GGGGGGATGGGTTAGCCTGGTGATGGGTATTAAAGAGGGCACATACTGCATGGAGCACTGGGTGTTATATGCAAACAATGAATCATGGAAGACTACATCAAAAATTAATGATGTAATGTATGGTGATTAAGATAATAAAAAAAATAGAAAAAAAAAGAGTTCTCCCTCAAAACCATTAAATGTCATCCTCTGCTGACAAACACTGAAAAAGTTTTTCAAAACCTCCTTCTCACTTCCCCTTTCCCATCCATCCAATTATGAATGTAGCAGATTAGAGAAGAGATAAGGAAAGAGGGAAGATCCAGAAATTGACAGTCCCTGGGATTAGCAAGAGACCCAGAACCAGATACTAAAAGTTCTAAAGGGCGGCTACTCAGTTGCAAGTGCTGATTTATAACACCATGATAAAATGCTTTTGAGGCCTCCCAACCTCCTCAGACCTTGATTTTGTGCTCCTTAAGCAAGGTTCTGTTTATTAATTTAGTTTTCCAGGAGTTTCAAGACAAAGAAGTCTGATTTGGGGTGGGCTGAGTACTCTAGTTCAATGCTGTCCAGCAGAACTTTCCGATGATGAACATATTCTGTGTTTGCATTGTCCAGTATGGTAGCAACCATCCACACATGCCTACCGAGCACTAAAAATGTGTCTAGTGTAAATGAAGAAATGAATTTTTAATTTTATTTGACTTTAAGTTTAAATAACTGCATGTGGCTATGGCTACTATACTGGACAGCATAGCTCTAATCTTTGTAAAGGATGATCTCTACACCCCCCCTCCCCCAAATGGCACACAGATTCACACTCTTCAGCCACTTAGTGGTTTTAATGGCTTTCCTGAGTCTGATTAACTGAGATACTCACAATGTTAGGAACCAACTCCCCACAGTAATTTCAAATTCACACTCTGTTAAGCCCTCTCCTATCCACATATAAGTTTGCCATTGCCTCCATTCAATCTATGATAACATCTCCTTCAAATGATTACTGTGGCAATGAGATAAGCTAGGTAAATGTTGACTGCCTCACAGAAAGCTTGATACCTAATACATGTTACATTTTTGTTCCCTCCCTCTGTTCATTTTCTCTCTAGTATATAGTCCTTTTTATATTTTCCAAACATTTTAGAAATATAGTAGCACTAAACAATGATTATGCTCGGCACCATGGTTTTATTGTGGTGGAGGGATGTTAAAAAAACAAATAAATTGCAACTTCTACAAAATTGCTGACCTAAAGTCACCCATCTAATCTATTATGTGTGAAGGACTGACAAGTAGCTACCTTTAGCAGCCAAATTAAGACATTTTGAGGACTATCATTAATTTCCCATTTATGGTGACTGAGGGCAAAGATATAATGGAGAAGGGAAAACAAAAATATACAGAGTGCAATTTCAAGTCCACTGCCAGAGAAAAGGTTTCCAGTTGGGCAGTAGATAGGAAACAGTTACAAAAGCAAGGTAATAAAAACCTAATATTTCTTAAATAAGGAATCGGAACGAGCTGCTATATACACGTTCTGCTTCTGTGTGATAGAAAATAGGCTAGCCTTGGGGCTCCTGGTTGGCTCAGTCGTTAAGCGTCTGCCTTTGGCTCAGGTCATGATCCCAAGGTCCTGGGACTGAGCACCGCGTCGGGCGCCCTGCTCAGCGGGGAGCCTGCTTCTCCCTCTCCCACTCCCCCTGCTTGTGTTCCCTCTCTCGCTATCTCTCTCTCTCTCTGTCAAATAAATAAATAAAATCTTAAAAAAAAAAAAAAGAAAATAGGCTAGCCTTATCCAGGAAATCAACTGAGGCAATTACTTCTCTTGGTCATAGGAATGGGGAATTTATATTTACCTGGAGTTGTACTATCTTGGGAATTATCAAAATAGTGATTCACTGCTTTAGTGAAGCCCCTGTAAGTTGTTCGCAGCTTCATTTTTGGATCCTGGAGTAACCAGCTAGGATTGAAAAAGTAGGAATCATTCTTGGGGTGGGAAACAGCAATAAGAAATACTTAAGCATGAGGCTGGAAAACAAGGACAGCCACACTGGAACAGTATATTGTGAGATCTTAATGCATCTTTAAGAAAAAGCAATCTGCGTTCTAGTTGCAAATAGCTCAGCACCTTAGCCACCGCCTCTTTCCTCAAAATACACATCAGAGTTGTGTAATGATGAAATGATCCAGAGCAGAGTCATCAGACTGCAGCCCACAGGCCAAATCAAAGCCATTGTCTGTTTCTGTAAATAAAGTTTTATTGGAACACAGCCACACCCTTTGTTTACATATTGTCACAGCTGTGTTCATGCTACAAGAGCAGGATTGAGTAGTCACAACAGACTGTGTATGTGGTCCCCAAAGTGGAAAATATTTATTACCTGGTCTTTTACAGAAAAGGTTTACCAACCCCTAGTCTGGAGTGAGACTTTTATAAAGCTGTTTCAAAGTTTTTAAAAAATGCTCTTTGATGGAATATTATTTAGCCATAACAGGGGAATGAAGAACTGTACATGCTACTACGTGGGTGAATCTTGAAAACATTACAAAGAAGCCAGTTACAAAAGGTCACATATTCTATAATTCCATTTATATGAAATATACAGAATAGGCAAACCAACCGGTCTGAAAGCCAATTGGTGGTTGCCAGGGGCTGGGAGAAGGAATAATGGGAGTTGACTGGACGTAGGGCTTCCTTTTTGGGTGACAAAAGTCTGGTGCTAGTGAGTGGTGATGGTTGTTCGACATTTTTGAGGTACTTAATTGCCACAAAACTGTACACTTTCAAATGGTAAATTTTTATGTTGTGTATTTTACTACAATAAAAAATGATTAGAAGCTAACAAAAGGGTAAACCCCTCTTTAAAAAGGGATAATCAGCCCAATTTCTTACTATTTGTACCTCCATCACAATAAACTAGAACTTACAAAGGTATTGCTTAAGTGGTAGCCACTAGCTGTTACTAAAATAAAAAAAGTACTCTATCTTATTTACACTGCAGAAATGAGATGGAGGTTTACATAAAACAAACACATACTATATAAATCCCAGTAAATCAAAGTTCATTTTCTATGTCATTAAGTAGGAAAAGAGTATAGTTTAAAAATGTACACAGAAAACCAGCAAAACCCTTTGCTCTAACTTCCATTTGAATGTGCTAGGGGCCCATGTGGAGTCATGGCCAGGGGCCCCAGATAATAACTTACCTGGGTAAGCCTCCAAGGTCTAAGTCGCTCCCAATATAGGGGCCTGGACACAGAATGACCCACAGCCCCACCTCCGAAGCCATGGCTATAAAAGTCCTGGGAAGTGAAGCAATAAGGATCATTTATTATTCAGGCTGAGAACTGGAATCACTGTTATTTAGCTCACTGAGGTCTCTTCTGAGGTTAGAATGGGCAGAACTCCCAGCCTGGTCTACAGAAGTCCTTGTAGGTGACATGAACCAGGGGGATATGGATCCCTACATTCAATACAAAGGGGCTCATTCAAGGTGCTAGAAAACAGAAAGTCCAGAAGCCTACTCCTCCCGTGTATCTGCCAACACCATGCAAGAAAGTTGTGCTAAGGCAGACACTTACAAATCTTGTTCCTCCTTCTGTGTCTCCTACTTTCAGTCAGTCACCAAATCATGTTTATTCCTCCTACTTAATGTTTTCAAACAGGAAACTCCTCTTAATTTCTAGTACTACCACCACATTTAGTAAAGAACTCATCATTTCACACCTGAGTTATTACAGTGGTTTTCTAGCTGCTTTCCTTCCTTCTTCTAACCTTCCTCCAGTGTTTCTCCAGTCACACCAAACATCATCATCAACAACAAAAATAGGAGTTAATTTTTTACCTCGTATCGGCATCCGGCACTACAGTCTTCTTTAGGACTATTATTTTATTTGACAATTCAGTGAGATAAGTATCAATATCGTCTCCATTTTACAGATAATAAAATAAAAGCTTAAACAAGTCAGAGCTTCTTAAAGGTCATATTTTCAGTAAATAGAAGAACTAAAAGTACAATCAGGCACAGAGCTTCCAGAAATGAAATATCAACTACTGTATTATTCTGCTTCTTTAAAATACTGCTGGTACAATCTTTCTAAATGCACATACAAACTTGCCAAATTAAAATTCTTCAAGTGACTCCCAATGACTTCAGAAAAGATTCCAAATTGTGAAGCATAGTAAATATAAAAGCAACATGTGGTCTACTACCTATTCAGCTTTATTTTTTGGCATTTTTTCTACTTAAACTAATAAAAGAACCAGAGAGCATTATTTGCAGTTCCCAGAAAATATACTGTATGGTAGAAAGTTAACCACCAAAGCCATTCCCTTTTCTTCCTGGGCACACAGCTCAACTACATTTCCCAGCCTCCCAGGCACTGAGGTGTTACTATGTGATGGACTTCAAGCCCACAGAATGTGAACAGGGGCAATGTGTTCCAATTTCCTAAAAAGATTCTCCCTGCTCTCTCTTCCACTTGCTGACTTGATGCAGATGTAAGAGTAGCAGCCTGGAAGCTATGTGACGAAGATGGTGAAGCCACAGATAAAAAGACCCTCAATCTCTTAATTATTTCTTGGAAGAGAGACATAATACTTACCAGGAATACCTATTTTAGATTTTACTTAAATGAAAATAAACCTTTATTGTTAAAGACATTGAGGCTTACTTGTTACAGTAGCTAACATCACCTTAATTAACTTAAAAATGTTCCCTCACATTTTGACTTTGCCCTTGCTGGACCCTCTGCCTTAAATACCACTCAGGTCCCTCTAGCAAACTCCTGCTCAACATTTTAAATTACTTCAGCTATAACTTCACTGTTGTCTTCCCTGATCTGTTCCCATAATTTGGGTTGTGTGTTTTTTGTATATTATTTGTCTCCCTCTCTATAGAGAATCCTTAGTCTTGACAGTACAAAGTGTATTGTCTGTCCATCTCCTCCACAAAAGACAATGTCTGAAGTCTAGCAGATAGCTAATACATATTTTTGAATAAACAATTATAGATCTTCCTGAACTTAAGATGGGGTTTTATCCCAATAAACCCATCATAAGTTGAAAATATTGTAAGTAAAAAAATGCATTTAATACACCTAACCTGCTGAACCTCATAGCTTAGCTTAACTTACTCTACAATGTGCTCAGAACACTTACATTAGCCTACAGCTGGGCAAAATCATCTAACACAAAGCCTATTTTATAGTAAAGTGTTGAATATCTCATGTAATTTATTGACTACTATACTCAAAATGAAAAACAGAATGGTTGTATAGGTACAGAATGGTTGTAAGTATATCACTGTTTACCCTCATGATTGCACGGCTGACTGGGACCTATAGCTAGCTGCTGCTGTCCAGTATCATAAGAGTGTATAATACAACATATTGTTAGCCTGAAAAAGACCAAACTTCAAAATTTGAAGTATAGTTTCTTTTTTTTTTTTAAAGATTTTATTTATTTATTTGAGAGAGAGAATGAGATAGAGAGAGCATGAGGGGGGGAGGGTCAGAGGGAGAAGCAGACCCCCTGCTGAGCAGGGAGCCCGACGTGGGACTCGATCCCGGGACTCCAGGATCATGACCTGAGCCGAAGGCAGTCGCTTAACCAACTGAGCCACCCAGGCGCCCTGAAGTATAGTTTCTACTAAATGCATATCACTTTCACACCATCATAAAGTCAAAACATTGTAAGTCAGAACGTTGTAAGTTGGGGACCGTCTATATTCTGTGCCATATCTTAGAAACCTTGTAAACTATAGTCCAGAAATACCCTCTTATAACTGAGACAGCAGGTTCTTCATAATAGATTAAAACTGCATCAATCAAGATGCAAACTTTCTAAACCACACTGTAAGTAAAATGCACCACAGACACTAAGGTCTAGGCTCTATTGCAAATAACAGATTCACTTCTCAAGAAGGCTTCAATCCAGGAAGAGAATTTTTTTCCAATTATTCACTATGATGATTTTAATAATTGCATAATTCACAAATATCCTATGTCTAAGTGACATCAGGCATTTCCCAATTAAAATGTGGGAAAAAAACTATCAAATGTAAGTCTTCCTTAAAGATTTACTGAAAGCAGTAAACTATGTCTTCCAATCATCTTACTAAAGTACACGATCTTAATTATAAATCAGCCCAATAGGTGGATCATTTTCATATTACAGGGCATATTAATTTATGAGCTTCCTGATGATTTCCCAGAGCTTCCTGATGATTTCCCAAACAGAAAGTAAGGTGCCTTTGTTCATCTGATCCCACAGACCCTAACCCCTGTCTTCGAGCCATAGAAACAGGCAACCTCGACATTAAGACATACATGAAATCCAGATTTGCAGTAAAATAAAACCATCCTTTTCTTGGCTCATGAAGGTTCCAGGGAATATGCCTGCAATGGAAAAAAGAGAAATATAAAAATCTTTTACCTTATTTGCCCTTATTCCATATTGATTCCTCCAGTTTTAATATAGGACCTGGGCTATCTTTACTGTGAAGGAAACAAGATTTCAATAGCCAAGCCTCTGTGTGTGAGTGAACTTTGTATTAGCTTAGAAATTTCCTCCTTCAAATGCCCAGTGCAGATCCAAGCAGCCAATATTATTCCTTGATGCTGAACTTCAGGTAAGATAGATATATATGTAACATCCTCTGGGGTTCAACCACAAATCTTTTTTTAAATACTAATGAAAACATATGAAAAATTTAAATCCATATCTATAATGGCAAAAAAGAAAAACCATTAGCCATAAAACAGAAATCAGCAAGAGCTGAAAAGTGTATAGAACTAGATTATACTGTTTCCTTTAAATGAATAAAATGAAATCCAGCAATCAACAATACAAGATTCACAAAACCCAGGATCCATTAAGAAAATTACTAGGCATGCAAAAAACAGGCAAATGTGACACAAAGCAGAAAAAAAAAATCAAGCAATAGAAACAAACCCAGAAATGACATATAGGATGAAACTAGCAGGAAAAAAATACTTTTTAGTATTCAGCTATAAAAATATTTACCATATCAAAAAAAAAAAAGAGAGAGAGAAAGGACCATAGGACAGGTAGGACAAATAGAAAGAAAGTTAACAGGATGGTAGATTTAAATGCAACTGTCAGTAATCATATTAAATGTAAATAAGCCAAATACTTCATTTAAAAAACAAGAATTTTCATAATGAATTAACAAAAACAAATTTTAATTATATACTGCTTACAAGGTATGTTCCTTAAGCATATGAATCCAGAATAATTGAAACTAAGAGGATAGAGAAGTATGTATTATACAAACACCAACCAAAAGAGAGCTGTGAGGTTCACGGAAAGGAAAAATATTTTAACATCACTCTTTGCCTTACATGAGAGTTGTGTAGGTAGTTTCTTGTCTCCACTCTAGGATGCAAATGCATGAAAAAATTAAACTGGACCTTATTCATCTTTATATCCCATGGTATCATGCAAGCTATAGCTAATCGGGATATGTTTGCTCCACAAACTAACAAAGTGAGAAAAGAAATATGTAAATATGGAGGAAAAAAAATTTTTTTTTTTAAAGATTTTATTTATTTATTTGACAGAGAGAGAGAGAGATAGCGAGAGAGGGAACACAAGCAGGGGGAGTGGGAGAGGGAGAAGCAGGCTTCCCGCCGAGCAGGGAGCCCGATGTGGGACTCG